GTTTGTTTATATTTTTATAACCGAAAACTATTTTTATAGTCGAATTAAATTATGATGTACACTTTCTGTACTCAAAATAAAATAGGTATTTGTTTGAAATTTGGCGAAGAGGCGAAAAGAAAAGTCTTGCAGTGCAGTAATAAGAAAAACTTCTCATTCTGAGAAGAATTAAAGAAAGAGATTGTTTAGGGTATAATTTCTACTGATGTGTGTGTGTGTGTAGATAAACTTTAATTCTCTTACTCAATTTAGCTTTTTATTTTTTTCTAGTTCTAAAAATTAGAACTATAAAAATTCTGATGCTTAAGACATTTGTAATGTCTAATATTTTTTTTAACTATGAAAACCATTCAAAATACCGTTTTTAAACGCGCGCACGCCAAAGTATTTAGATGATTTTATAACAAATGTATATTTAATACATTAATATAACGTCCATTTAATGTTTTCATATACCATACTTAGACAACAAAAAGTGTCTTCTAAAATCAGGTCATAAGACGTTTTTTGTGTCTAAAAGACGACTTAAAAACGTCTTATGTCATAATTTTAGACTTTGTATTGTTTGAGGTATAGAAATATTAGAAACGTTTTAGCTAAACGTTTGTTAAACATAAATAGTCTGCTTAGATAGATTCGATAGACATTGATAAGAATGAATAATATCTCGAATAAAATTGACAATTGCGACGTCAATCCAAGCAGAACACAAATCATAACTGACGCCAAAATGATTATTAAAAGTCACTTTCAATCATTTATGATTCATTTTAATGTTATTTTGATGTTTTCATGATTTAATTGTTTTGCTAGGAAATGATTGTGATTACTGCTCACAAAGCATGAAATATTTTACAAATATTTCCAAAATATTTTATTACAAGATTTGAAATATTTGAGAAATTTTTCATGAAATATTTTTAAAATACAAGTATATCTAGGAAATTAGAGTTTTGAAATATATTTTTGTTCTTACAATATTTGTACAATATTTCTAAAATATTTTTATGAAATGTTTTAGTGTAATATTTTAAAACATTTTACAAATGTTTACAAGATATTTCTGTAATATTTCTGTAATATTTTATTGAAATATTTTTCAAAAAATGATTCATATAAAATATTTCATGCTGTGTATAGAGATACGATCTACAGAAAGTATAGGTATAGAATTTTAGAATGGATAAAGTTGCCGTTTTGCGAGTTGTTTTTTGCGTAGTGTGTCCGATGAATACAAAAATTTGTAATTTTCTAAATTGTATTTATTCAAAATTTTCACATAAAAAAATGTAATCATATATTTATTCAAAATTTTCAAAAAATATTTATTCACAAAAAAGCTATGAATATTTAACGAGTATTCATATTCATTCAAACAAAATATAAACTGAGAAAGAAAGCTCCAATAAGCAATCGTTATCCCTTAACTATAACCGGCACTTTGATGACTTTAAGTAAAAAAAATGAATTTTATTTATTTTTGTCATTGAAATATTCAAATTTTATGAAGGAAACTTAGAAATTTTGAAAAATATTTTAGAAAGCAATACATTTTTTATTTATAATAATATCTACAATATTTAATAGAGCGCCATACATATTCTGATATAATTCCGGTTACATCACAGTAATGTTATAAACACTATACGATATCTTGGGCGCGTCGGTCATTATGGTCTGTGGACATTAAATTTCGAGATATATATATTATTTATTCCCAATAAAAGTGCTTTGTTTAACCTATAGATTAAACAAGAACGCCCATCGTATAGGTCACAGACTAAGCGCACAGTGTAATCGTGTAGCCATTGTTTTTATAGATTTCTGTTTTCTCTTGCAGGCTTTGCAAGCATGTGCAGATAATACAGAGTAAAAATGAATACGAAATGAAAATATTCGTAATCATATTCAAAAAATATTCATTCAAATGGAATGAAAAAGTATTTATTCGTTTCTTGACGAATAAAAAAAAATTAAATGTATTCAAATAAGTATTTTCATTCATTTTTTATTCATTTATTCGAAATATTAGGTGTATTCACCAGACACTAGTTTTGCGTTACGTAAAGTAAAAAAAAGAGTAAAAGTAACGAGGATGCTGTTATAATCATAATAGTTTCATTCGGTCCCGTGACCGTCATAATTGCGGTGGGGCTAACCTAATCGCGACGGCGCAGATGTATGCATGGGGGATATCTAGAGCACGTGACTTTGCGTAGCATGACTTTGAAGAATCGACGCGCATAATTATATACGTTTTTCTTCTCGTAAATTACTGGATATATCTAGGCATCTAACGATACATGAGATCCTGCTCGAAACGAAACCCACGCGTAATAACAATGCGGGAAAACGATCCTCGTATAATTTTATTATGAAATTTTATATAACAAAATTTCACGATAAAATTGATAATTTATCTCGTTTCAAGTACAAATATTTTTAAAGATTTCAAAAGCAACGCCAATGAGTCTACTTTTTAGTATGTCGCAGCCCGTATGACAGACTTATTGATTTTTATAAAAATTAGTTTTCTAATTAGACCATAAATAAAACTTATTAAATTAATTTATGAAATATAAATTAGTTTGTCGATTAATTCTTTGACTTATTAATTAGTTATATTTCACTAATTTTTTAATCAGTTCTCAGCCGAGGTTCGTAATCGTCTTTTCTCCTGTCGCGACATAACTGTTTCTCGCTCGACAAGGAGAGAGGATCGGCATTCTAGGCTTCGTGGAAAAGCAAACAAGTACAACTGCACAGAAGTATAGATTATATATACTTTATATGTTGATACAATTAACCCAGTCGATACCAACTAAAAATAACATCAATTCCCTGGCGGAAATAAAAATCGAAACATAAGTCGAATGTCAAATATAATTATATAATTAAGAGACAGAGTATAAAAGAAGCATAAACGAAACTTAAACGTTCTTTTATTTTTCGTTGTCTCAATTTTCACCTTTTAGAAATTTAATTTACTTTTCTGTTACTTTTTTCCTACATTCGACTTACGCTTCGATTTTTATTTTCGCCAGAGTACAACATTCAACAATATAACTATTATGTAACACCATATTTTGTATTACATATAGTTATATTATATTTATACCTATTTCTACCAATGTAGATTAACTTTAATCTCAGTTCAATTTACTTTTCATTTTTTAAATAATATATTGTACTCATGTATCCGCAGTTCCACCGATGTAAATTAATTTTAATTTCAATTCAATTTAGTCTTTATATTTTTCTTTTTATAAGTAAAACAATGAAGATCAAATTGAACCGAGATTGAAGTTAATCTATATTGATGGAAACGGGTATTATTATATCGTTGAATGCGAAATTATAACATAGATGTTTCAGTTTGTCAACTGGAAACGTTCGAAGTTCCTTTAAACTTTAAATGGAAAAAAATTTCGGCAAAATGTCGAAATAAATGCCCAAAAAGCTGAATTATGGAGATTCGTCGTTTCATGTCATAATCTCTTATGTATACGTTGACATTAGTTACGTCAACGAGGATGCAAAGTCTCAGTTTTTTGCTACACTATGCCATATATTATTAGCATCATGATACACATATATTGATGCACTTAGCATTAATAATTAATAACAGTGATTCTCGATGCAGGAATTCGCGAAATGCTTGCGACCGCGAGCTACACGGTTTATCAGAATTGAAAATTCTGTAGTCTTGAAAAAAAGAATAAATGAAGGTAAAAAGAGACGAAGAGAAGAAATTAATTGGAACTGATTAAAAAATTAGTGAAATATAACTAATTAATAAGTCAAAGAATTAATCGACAAATTAATTTCATAAATTAATTTATAAGCTTTATTTATGGTCTAATTAGAAAACTAATTTTTATAAAAATCAATAAGTCTGTCATACGGGCTGCGACATACTAAAAAGTAGACTCATTGGCGTTGCTTTTGAAATCTTTAAAAATATTTGTACTTGAAACGAGATAAATTTTATATTTTAACGTTGAAAAGAGAAAAAGAAAATTCCAAGTGCAAGAACCCAAGCAGAACAACAAGTCACAAAAAATGACGTTAAATGAATCGTAAATGATTGAAAAGTGACTTTTAGTATTTTGAAGTACATTATCACATCATTTTGCTGTCACGATGACTTGTGTTCTGCTTAGGAAGTGCGAGAGCAACGTGAACAAATCTTATCAGCCTTTTTTGCCCTCGCGATCGTCCTTCGGACTTGAATTAACTCAGAACCGTATCAGAGCCCATGAACGATTTCATCAAAATCCCACTGCAGAAAGGTACATACATATAATTTCTCCTTATATATGTGTATAATAGTATACTATCCTAAGCAGAACAAGTCACGATAACGTCAAAATGACATCGAAAATGATTGAAAAATGACTTTTAATGATCATTTTGGAGTCATTTCGATATCATAATGACTTGTTCTGCTTGGGATTTCACTTTAACTTATATTGTCTTACCTTATTATCTTAATTCAAATTATAGAGTATAATTAGAAACAGTGTAAGTTAGAATAATGAGATAGTATATACACAGAGAAAAATTATATACACACACATATACTCTAAAGTCTTTGGAGTAGAATCTCACACTAAAGAGTGAAAATTGAGTCAGTCTTGAAAAAGAGTCGCTCAATTTTCAATCTTTAAGAGTAAGTAGATTTCATTCTTCAGAGTGACAATTCATTCTAAAAGTTTAGAAATCTTTTTCTCTTTCGTAAGATTTTGACAAAATCGCTTATGACCCTGATATAAGGTCTGTTCTTTTCAGCTAAAGTTCTTGCCTTTTCTCTCCATGTTGAAGTGGAAAGATGAACCGTGCAAGAAATTTAGCTAAAAGAATTAACGATTGCCTATAATCTTGAGGACGTACGGCCCTGCAACGCACCACCGCGGTACGGCCACGTAGAAGGCGAGCAAAGGAGACTCTCGTCTCTGCGCCGCAGGCCGCTCGTACCGCATACGTCCACATGGGCGGAGGGAAAGGAGAGAAACGGGAAGGCGGGAGGGGCAAGGGAACTACGTAACGCGTACCGGTACGCATCGTTCGTGTCGTACGATTATCGTCGTGCGCGCCGAGTTCGAGTCAGTTCGAATCATCGTCATTCTCTTAAGCGAGCGGCGCTTAGTCGGCCGACATTAGTTCGCGGGTTCCCGACGATCGTCTCCGTTTTCCCGTTACCCCGCTTCCCTGTGTTCTCTCTCTCTCTCTCTCTCTCTCTGTTGCACTAGTCGGCAAGCGCGCGTCGCACGTATACGCATCGTCGTGCGTGCACGCACGCACGCACCGCGCACGCATAGAAGCAGAAGTTCGGGAACGCGCACGCCGGCACGCCGCGTTTCGATCTCTCTTTCCCGGCGCGGCGTTGATCGTAACCTCTCGTCTTCCTCGGCGACACACTCCTCTGCACTCCTCGCCCACTGATAGACCCAGATCGGTCAGTCAGTTTGATTTTGGTCAAGATGGCCGAGTCCACGGCCCCGGAACAGCAGCAGCAACAACAATCGCAGTTCCTGTCGAACTTTATCGGCGAGATCGTCAAGAGCCCAGTGAACCTCGCCCTCGTGGGCGTGATCGCTATTCTGGTCTATAAGATCGTCAAGAGCCGCACCCAGCCCGATGAGCCTGTGCAGGAAGTGAAGAAGCTACCGAAGCTACGCCGTGACTTCGCGATCGAGGAGCTGACCAAGTACGATGGCAAGGGCCCGGACGGCCGGATACTCGTCGCCGTCAACGGCAGCGTGTACGACGTCACCAGAGGCGCGAGGTTCTACGGCCCTGGTGAGTCGTCGTCGGGGCACTCCGCATCAGCGGATCAATTCTCCCTCACCCGCCGATCTCTATCGCGCTTGTTGGCGATCGAACGATGTTTTTTTCCCCTCTCCTTCCTCCTGATCATGATTTAGTTCTCCGTCTCTTCCTCTTCCCTTCTCTCTCATTCTCATTTTTTTTTAATCTGTATTTCTTTTTCTCTCGGACTTCATCAGTCGGGTTTTTTTTATTAGTCTCGAAGGAGTGTCCGATGATATCATACTCTGCACGAGCAAAAATAAAATCGCGAAAGTCTCGCGGTCGTCACGACCAATTGTGCCTCTCCAATTGCGCCGCGATACTAAGCTAATATGATAGCGGTTTATCACGTTCCGTGACGTATAGCCTAGCGAGAAGGTCTCGCATCTAAGTATGTAGCACGGACGGATGCACGAAGCCTGTTCTTTTCACGGTTCATCTTTCTACACTATGAGGAAAAAGGAAGAAAGGTGAACGTGAAAGAGTTGAGCTGAAAGAACACGCCTACGGTTGGCGAAACTAAAGAACTAGGAAATTGTTTTCGGAATCTATAAGCTCAGCGAAGTCATAAAGTAGATAAGCGATTGCAGCTGAGATCATTTGAATTAGCACACGAAGGAATGTCGCACATTTGTTCACCTTGTTTTACGTCCTCTTTGATTTCTAATAAAGATAAGGCTGCGTTCAGCAGAAAAGCAGCTTGGCTACAATTATAAAGTTCTTCGGTGATATGTGATAGATCCTTGGTTCGTCATTGGATTTAAATGTATAAACTAATAGCTGCATTCAGCAGAGAAAACAGCTTTATAACTATTGTAAAATTCTTTAATATGATTACTTTGTACATTTAGATCCATAAAGAATCAAAGGTAAGAATCAATAAAGAATTTAATTACATTTATAAAACTGCTTTTCTTTGCTGAACGCAGCCATTGGTCACATTCAGCAGAACATTCATTTTGCAATTTTTGGTAGTTTTCTTCATTAGATAGAATATATTCCTCTTGATGCAAAAGTATAATCCAATTGGAACGAAGAAAACTTTTACTAGTTGTAAAATAAGTAGTCTATTAAACAGTCCATCATATTAATTGTTGAATTTTACAATACTTGCGAAACTGCTTTTTCTGCTGAACGCAGCTAATGTGTAAAGATCCAATCGATTATGTGCCTTTAGTCGAAAGGGATTGTACGTGATGTGCGCAAACATCCTTTGAAAGTCTTGTGATGAATATACATTTTGTATAGATGGACCTTATAAAGAAGAAAAATTTATTTACTTAAGTTTTCATGCACATTTCAAGTTATGCGTTTTGAATAAGCGATAATAGTTCTTTCAACAGAAAAAGAAATGAGAGACGAAGCTACTTCGCAACAATGCACTGATTATTCTAATTTATACATGTAAAAAATGAGTATGGAATTCTATTTTAAAGTTAGTTATTGTTAGTTATTGTTAAAAGACAAACTCTTGATTTCAATTTTCAATCAAACAAATTTAAATCCACACAAATCCATCTATACATTCTACTTAATGTCTACACAAAACTCCACAGACTAAATATTGCTATTCCTATAGGTGGACCCTATGAAGCATTTGGTGGTCGAGATGCCAGTAGAGCACTCGCGAGGTTTGAAGTGGTCGCTGCAACGGATAAATATGACGATCTAAGTGACCTGAACACTACAGAAATGAATTCTATCAAGGAGTGGGAAGAACAATTCAAAGGTAAACAAATTAGTGCTTATTGAATAAGCAATAGTTCTTCTAACAGTAAATAAATACCAATAAGTACCAATAAATGAGAGCTACTTTGCAACACTGCGCTAATATATTTACATAATTTATATATGTAAGAAATAAATAAATAGAAACTTGATCTTAATATTAATTCTTGTTAATAGAACATTTTCTTTTGGAAGTATTATGTATGTAGAGCACACATTCTAACATGATGTAGGCTGCGTTTGGTTCGAACTCCTTCAGCACTTTCGGCACTTTCATTCTTGTTGTATATTTAATGAACGATAAAGACAGAATGATGATAATAAGCGGATGAGCATTCAAACCAAATATAACCGTATAGTGCAACATCTTATTGATAGGATATAGACTTTAAACTCTATGTAAATATTCTTTCTAGTGTGATATTTTCTTTACTCGTATGAGATAACATATTCTATTTTTAAGCCAATATGAAAGCTTTAACTCTCATGAATAATAAATGAGAGCATGGTTCAAGGCTTTTTTTATTGCGTGCATCCGTTTTAGTTTACAGACGTGATGTTTAAAATAAATATAGATACACGTAAATAAATTATTTAGAAGAACAATAACATTATAAATATGTTTGCTTTAATTACAGAGAGATATGATTACGTCGGAAAATTATTAAAGCCTGGCGAAGCACCAACAAATTACTCCGACGAAGAGGACGAGGGTAGCCAACGGGAGACTGAAACAAAATCGGAAAGCTATGATGCAGAAAAAAAAGTGGATCGTAACGAGGCCGCCGAAAAATCAAAGAGCGATTGACCGCATGATCGTACGTTGGAGGCAGAACTGTTACAGGAGCACACTACGCACACGCTGTTGTTACAGAAATCTTTGAAATTGTCGCTCATGAATATATTTCTGGACGTTCGGCCGAATATTTTATTACTTGGTAACGGTAACCGGATAAAGAGGCGAAATGCCGGCTTTTAATATCGCCATTACCATTGGAAATACATAAAACACATTTCCGAAAAAGCTGGTGGTTATACTATGTGAAGACTTTATTTGAGCGTCCAGTTCGCCGATTAGCGTGCTGACGCTCGTGTCTTTTAATGTTTTTATATATGTACAAAAGATTTTCTACCAAAAAACGCTAAGCCGAATCAGTGGTAACAACATATATATTCCATTGTAGATTCTTGTTAAATTACTTGTATTTCGCTGTACAACACGCGATGACGGTACGCGCCTGTACCCGCACGAGTACGGCGATACGATAAAGCTGACGTTGCATTTGAAATTTAGTTTTAAGTCTGCTTTATGGAGCTTAAGTCCTCTCACGTTCATGCAGAATCGCGAATTAAAAAAGAACCACCGAATTGGGGGAGAGAAGGATCACACAGAGATATGCACTTCGGAATAATAAGCTTGCGAATGATCCAAATAGCGCTCGTTAATTTTGACCAAGCGCTAAAGATATAGTTATATGAATGTTATACTTTTAATATGTAATTGTATCAGATATGTAATTATTATCAAAATGATGGAAAATATGGTATACCGATTCAGAGGTCTTTCTCTCGCTCGCGATTGTCTCAATGAGGCAAATGCATTTTTTTCTCGTGTAAGTTTTAATTACTGAAGTAGTACCGGAAAACTGAGCATAACGCGTGCGTTTCTAACAGTTTGTTTTACACGTATGAAAATAACAAATGTATGAAATTTTTTGTGGTGGATTTGAGCATTGTAAAGTTTTGTTACAAAGTTCAATAGAACCGGTATTCACATATAATCCTTTTTTTTTTTTTTCCAGATCATCTTGAGTAATGTCTTGTGAGATGCTGATCAATATAATTCTGTTTAATTTATAACATTTTCAAAATAACATTTTCAAACGATCTTTTAAAAATGAGCTATGAATACACTGGTCTACGATGTTACATTCGCAAATATTCGCGTACTTCCGCGTAGCGTTGTCTCTTTGACACTGCAGCGCATCTATTAATACTGTTCAATTGCTTTATTCACCAACAAAATATGGTTTTGGTAAATAGTTATATCTGAAAATAAGTTTATGAATAAAGATTAATATTAGAGTTACGTAAAATATACATACATATATCTATATTTCTACATACAAGTGAAAAGTTTGCATGCACTTCCTGTGTATAATTTAAAACTACGTCGGTATAAGTCAAATTGTATTTTACATCTTGTTAGTATTTAAAATGACAAGAAAATTATTGTATATCACGCGTTGTGCTAGTTACTTGAAAAAATGGTGTATATAACTTAACATGGTTAGATAGTACTGATTGTGGCAAATAAAGTTTTATTATTGTTTATATTAATCCAACGGCGAGTGCACGTTCAGTTTGATCGTCATGTACACGAAGAATATATGGATACTTTTATTCTCTAATTAATTATTTGGGAAGAATTTTTCCTCTCCATTCTCGAGAAGCAGCGATCATTCTCAATATTATATGAGTATATTACATTACTTAACGGATGTAATGTAGCTTACAGAGACAACAAAAGTAAATAAATTTATGTGACTTTAGAGGTAACGTTAAAAATGAAAGCAGTCTGATTAAGGTCCGAAAAAAGGTCCTTATTTCAAGCATTCGAAGTAAATTTTAACTTAGAAATATCAATAGATTTGTTCTTAGTTGAGTTTTTTGTATTTTATTTCTTTTTTACATTCTATTATGCGATTATTTTGTTTTGAAAACAATTACATTTTATTACTAATAATTGGCAAATTTTGATTATGCTGTTTTTTCGGCGCCGTAGGAACAAATAACGTTAAGGGGCTCCGCACAATAAAAGGAACAGAGAATAAGAA